GGGGCGGTTCACAAATCCGTTTACGATCTCCTCGGTCCTCCTGACTTGATCCAGCCGACGCGATCCATCTCAGTCTCGTGAAAGGCGTAGGCGAAACTGCGGTGCCATACTTGTTTCCTTTTCACGCTGGATCACACTAGGACTCGTCCCGTCAGTTAAGCCCCCCCCCTAATTAAATACCAGACTACTGGTCTCACACATTATTATGTGCAAAGATAAAATAAAAGGGCATTCTGCTTGAAATTAAAGCAGCAGCAGCAGAAACCATAGTTTTTTTTATCGCCTCTTATGGGGCAGTCACGCGCAAAAAAGCGGGGAGACCTTTGCGTCATTCAGCATATTTGCGATGGCAAGGAATGCGGGAAGCGAGGCCCGATTAGAGAAGGACTGGTTGAGGTTTTTTTCCTGTGTGAGCAGTGGCGATCCAAGCAAGCTCCTACTGGCACTGTTACAAGGTCAAAACAAAGTGTGCAAAAAGGCCTCGTAGCTGTCTTTTGCTTGACAGACTTCGGGGGACGCTTCGAACCCACGACAGAACAAGGAGGTGCTCAACCCTGTCAACGCTCTTACCATCTCAGCCATGAGGCCGCAGCGGAGGCTGGGAGCTTAAACACATTTGGGTTAAGCTACGCGCCCAGCGTACTGCAAAGTATATGGAATCCAACAATTCGGAAGTGGTTGAAGCTGCCAAAGGGCGCCGCCGGGCAGTCATCTGGTGGATTCTGGAGTGCTCGCTTAGGGCATCCTTCTTGGACCGTCAGCTTCCTGTAAGGGAATTGATGGAGTTCATAAGTTTCGGTAGATTGGATGAGTCACTTGACCCAGGTCTGTGTTTAAACTCATCCGGGTAGAGTGAATACAGGTACGCGAACCCCCGCCAAAGCAGACGCATATTTTTTGTTAAAACGCACGATTTTAGACTGTCTCAGTATAATCTGAGGAAGACTGATTGGCAGAAATTTGAATTGACGCATGCGAAAAGCAGTAAGACCTCTGTTCGGAGGACGATTAGAAGATCACTTAAAGCAGTAAGAAGTGTTGAGATTGCTCGAGTTGCTCTCATAAGTGGTGTGCGATCTCCGAACGGTAACTGTCTCCCATCGATTGACCTGACTTTTATTGTTTGTCGTGTTACAGAAGACTATTCATATGCCGTCAATCAGTTTAGTTATTAGGAGGGTTTCGGCAGATTTGTATAAGTCAATTGACCCAATTTTCAAAAATTCGGCAGCCCTGGTGGGATTTGAACCCGCGTCAGCAGGGGGAGGTTGGAATACAGCCAACACTCATAATTGGGTCACTTGAATTATTCAAGTCTTTCAATTCCCTCCCCATAATTAAGTTTGCATGATAGTCATCTGGTGATTGCTTAGGGAATCCAGCTATGACAGTCAGCTTTCTATATCGATATTGGTGAATTCCGTACATTGCAGTAGGCTATGTGGGTAAACCGACACCAGTATGATTAAATTCCCGACTCCCGGTGGGACCTCGTAGGTCAATTGGCTAGAGCGTTGGCTGTACTGAAGTCTCCCCCGTTGTTGGCGTCGGAGCGATTCCCACCGAGGCCACCGCATTGTTTACAAGTGGGTCAATTAAATAAATTTGATATTCCTTCAAGCACGAGATCAGGGAAGGACCACAAAGTCTGGCTTGCACACATATCACAGGACCGCAGTACTACTGCTAGTATTATAACTACTACTATGATTACCAATAATATAATTGCCAGTAATATTACTACCGATAGTACTGGTATTAATACTACTAATAATACTGTTTAACCGACCACCACAAAGGTTCCTCCTGCGAATGTCACATCTGAGTGAGGAAGTCTAGCCGATACTAATATGAGGATGCAGTCGCAAAAGCTTGCGATGTAAGGTTGCACTACTGATTAGCGTGTGATTAAACTCACGGCTCCCGGTGACGCTTCGCAGCTCAGCTCAGCATTAACTGTACTGAAGCCCACGTTGTTCCGCCGTGGGTTCGATTCCCAGCGAGGCCGCCGATTACTTTCATAATTGGGATTCCTTGTGGCGTTCGTCTTCTTGGTTACCGCCTACCAACTTTGCAGTATGAGGATCTACATGTGTGGAACTGCTCCGGTCATTGTCTACACGGACTAAGTGGTATGATTTGACCAGAACTGCTCTCAACTGACGCAATCATAAAAACGGCGTCGGCTTCCTTGTGAGAGATAACAAAAGGAGACAAATGTTGCGTGGAGGTTGAAGGCCAGTGGGATGTCTCCAACATAAAAGTATAAGAATAGCTATCTTTCTCCCCATCGACACCTGGTATTTATTCGGATATAAGACTGTGCGTTGTACCCTTCTGAGATTCAAGGTCTGTATGCATATGCAATGCCAGACTCCGGCAAACCGCGGTCTCTGCGGCCTGGTAAGCGCTGGCACCTTCTTTCGATTCTGATTCCTTGTCCGTGCATGCGGTCGCGCTCCCACTGGGTTTCAGGCCCCACCTCAGGTGTCCGAGCAGCTAGGC